CCTATTTTTGATGATAGCGTTGGCCCTGTGAAAGACAATTTTTTTCCAGGCATGGCTGACTATGAGGCCATCATTTGGGACATCACTTTTTAGTCAATGAAATTGTCCCACTTCTCCTTCTGTTCAGAACCAGCTCTCGTGGAGCCAAAGCTATTACCCAGATGCTTGTCAGGCAGACACAAAAACACTTTGCAGTATGTTTTGGCTTGCTTTTAGGGGACTTCCTGCCAACAGAGCGATGGCATTTGCCCAAGTTTACCATGAACTTGAGGGCAGATTTCTCTCTTCCTACCCTTGGAACACTCCAGAAAATGTTTTCCATTTTGCACAGGATGAAAGGAGCTTCCCTCAACGGGAATGCTGATGGCAACATACCAGGCAGCAAATACAGTACAGCATCAGACTGAACATTGTTCCCCCCTTTTTCATGAGGAGGGAATGCTCTGGGTTTTTTATTCCTAAATTATTTTATTCTTAATGATTCTTAAGTTTGAGCAAAACTGTGGTCAGTGTCCCAGAAAGGTTCTTTTTGAAGCTTTAAGCCTGGCATGTTCTTTCACAGCTGGTAGAAAACATGTCTGGTGCATGACCATGTGATGGGGCTCCCTTTCCCAAGGACGCTGTAAACGTAGCAGCCTTCTCTTTCTTCAGTATTTCCTCTGCTTGCGAGAGATGGCTTTCATGGGAGCTAATTCTGTTCCCAGGTCTTTCTGCAGCTGCTGTTCTGACTCTCTGAGCTTGGCACTCGTGTAGAGTTTACAGCTCTGAGCCTGTCTGATGCTGGGTAAGAAGTTGGTACTTCTTTTTTATTTTTATGAAAGGTTTTGGTGCTCTGGCAGGGATATCTCTTGGCAAAACTTAGCTCCTTGGCTGTGTCTGATTCACCCTTTGGTTGCATCATTATCCACCCATTGGCATCACCAGTGAATTTGACAGAAAATATAGCAGTGTTTCTCAGGACTCAGCCTTTTTTGGACTGGAGAGTGTCTCAACTTCTGACTCTTCCATAAACCCAAGAGCAAGCCTGAAATTGCCTTCCAGTCCGACAGTCCCCCAGTGCGTGTTTAGCTCTGAACTGCTGCATCGCTTCTGTTGACGCTGTCCCTCAGCGGTTGTTTTTCCAAAGACCCTCTTTGCTCTCTGCCTGTCATGTTGCCCTCAGGTTGCCATGAGATTTGTTCCCAGTGGTCACTGCCAGGTTGGTGATGAGAAATACTCTCTCTCAATTCAGACATTTAATGGCAAACATGGCTCAGGATGCCCAGTGTCTCCCAACCTTTTCTCCTTTTCCAGTGACTGCAGCGACAGCTCAGCACAGTGCAGCTGAAAACCAGCTTGTGTCCATTTGGGAAGGAAGCACGTGTTGAAGAGCATGGGGCAGGCTTTTGGGGACGGTGAAGGCAACTAGAAGCCCCGTTTTACTTGGCTTTTAGAGGCCTTTTAATGCCAAACTTTCGTTGCCTTTGCACATCTCACCCATTTTCAGCACGAGGCAGAGCCGGTACCTGCTTTTGCTATGAACGAGGTGTTAGCGTGTACCACTACTGTGCTCAGCCTCTGTGTTTCCTGCTCATGTAGTGTTGTCTTTGGGTGAATTTGAAATTCCCCTCCTTCCCCTCCTGCCAAATGATCCACTGGGTGCATGGGCCAGTGCTCTGCTCGGCTTAACTCCCTGCTGCTGGTTTGAAGCCAAGCATCACCAGGTGTACAAATGCACAGCTCAGCCCTGGACATCTTCACTGTTCGCTCCATACTTTAGACATAATATTTACAATTGCACTTGGCCTTGTATGCATAGCTTTATTCCAAATAAATGACCGTACTATACATTTGCTAGGCTTCTACAGTTTTTCTGTTCTGCAGCCAAAATTGCAGCTGTGCCCAACCGTCTGGCTAGGACATGTTGTAGAGCCTTTTATGGAGGCCCTGGACTCCCAGCACTGTGCTGGGCTTGCAACCAGCCTGCACCCGCTCTATCTCTCAACGCTGGCACCCCTACTCAAGCGACAACCAAGGAGCCCCTTGTGTGCCTCCGCACCTACGGGTGTCCCATCCTATTGCTTCCTATGCACTGGGGGGGCTTTCAGCCCTGTGGTGCAGATGTGCTGTTGCATGACAAGGTAGGGGCAAAGCCATTAAAGAGGACGCCAGAAGCCAGGCCAGCAAATGGCTGTGGTGGGCACACGCTGCTGACCTCCTGTGATCATGCAGGCAAGTCCTTGGGCTCGTGCTGAGTCAGGGGTTGAGTAATTCCTAGAAGCTCTAGGAAGTGTCAGCAGTTAATGAAACCAGGCAATAACGTGGTATTAGTGGGTTCTTTTTCTGGAAATTCCCATGAAAAACAACAGATCTCATCGACTTGTGGTTGCGACTGTGCATAGACCCTTTGCATGAGAATGGAGGTGTTGTTCCTGGCACCGTGGCCAGATTGCAATTCAGTAAATTATGGTCTTGTTTACTTAAAATGCCACCTGTGGTTTCAGTAGGATCCAGCATTAATTTATCATCCTAAACTGTTGTATGTTGTTACTGCCTGTTGTTTACAGAGTTGCCGCATGTCTTCCCAGGAATGGCTGAGCTTACTTTGACCCCTACTCTGAGCTTGTGCATTGGTTTGTCTGCAAAGCACTTTGGGATTTCTTTGGAATGGGTAGAGAAGTTTTCTAAAGAAATACTTTTTTAATCTTCTGGATGCAGGCTTGGGTGGGAGCAGTTATTCCCTGCAGAAAAATTCGGCTGCTACAGCTGAGATTGCTTAACAGTGGCAGTTCTCCAGGACATCTTAACTAACTGAGTGCTGCTTGCTACCATTGCATCTAGAGTCCTTGGGAAAGGACATGATCAAATGTGTTAAAAAGCATCTGTTTTCATAACTGTAGCTAAAATCCCTGGATAGCTGGGTGTAATTTTCCATTGTTTTTGTCCGCATGATCACGGACTGCTCTTCGAAAATAAGGAATACTTGGAAGATGAACTGCAGGCCTACTTCAGTGCATGGTGACGTGCTGTGCCAATGACCTGGTTTTGATGAGTGTGTTCTTGCTTCCTCAGCAAGCAAGAGCCAAGGGACTTTCTCTTAGCAAGAAATAAAGTGTATTGGTGATAGTCTTCAAACTGGGAGACAGCGGTTGCAAATGCCTGGCTTTGGAGGGAAGGGTGGACTAGACCAGTCCTTATATAAGTTTATATAAAAAGGCTTTTTTAGAAGCAGGAGGGTGTTTGGAGGGTAGTAGACACTTTCTCAGCTCGGTTTGAAGGAAGTGCAGAGGGCATCTCGAGTGCTTCGTCCTTTGCTTCTCTGGAGCGAAGATCACAGTCTTCTCTCCGCCCTTCGTGGTACAGCTGAGCAGGCTGGCTAGAAAAACTGCCTAGGAACCTTAATTTCCAGTGAAGCAAAAAAAAATGGAGCATGTAACACTTTCATTCGATAGCAGGTTTTGATAAGTTTGGGTATAAGGCGGAATCCAGTCCATTAGGGAAATTGTTTGCACAAGGCAAGAGAGATTTCAGTTTGCTGTGCCAAAATACATGGAGAATTTGGGTTACGACACAGGGAGGTGAAAGTCCCTGCTGAAAATGCTCGGAGGCATGATACGGCATATCCAGTTCACCTACAAACAGCCCAGCGCAGGGCTCTGAGATCTGTGATATGGGTCAATTGTACTTTGTCCTGAGCCAGAGCAATACTCCTCTCATTCTTCAAATTCCTAAACTGTGTTCACCTTTCCCCACCCAGCTCTTAGCAGAGAAAACATCGCTAACTCTGCAGAAGATGCTGAAAACATCAAGGTATTGTGAAGGCAGGACTAGAGGTTTTTACTAGGGAGAAACAAGTGGTTTGATCTCACAGGGCAGAATGGCCATGCTGAAAATGGGCTGTAGCACTAGGAGCGCTACATTTTGTCTGTTTGGGAATAATGAAGAGTGGCAGAGGTCTTGCCGAAAGAAAAACAGTTGTGATCTCTGCTGAGGAGTGGTTGCCAGGCCTAGGTGTTTCTAAAGGGGGAGCTCTCCTGGTATCCTTAGCTGCAAAAGCTGAGCTTAAAAAAGATAGAGATTACAGACATCTCTGAGGCAGGTAGAGCAGTGGGCTGTAGTTGCAGGAGACAAAAGCCTCATCTGGAGTGAACGTTGTAGCTCTTTGAGGTGCCTCTCGGAAACATTTTTCTAGTGCATGCAAGCGTGAAGGGGGATTTATGGAAAGGAGGGGTTATTTGACCTGTTGGAGGGAGTGGAGAAAATTCAGGAAGTGCTCTTTTAAAATTCCCTTTTAAGGAACAGTGTACGTATGGTACGGCAGTGCACAGAACCCAGCCGTGACCACAAACGGAGCCCAAGTTAGGTTTCTTGAGGATTCAGAGTGGGGGGCTAGTTTAATTTAATTTTGGATAATTTAAGACATTGAATACAAAAATAAGTTTTAAAAATATTTTTGAGACATTTATGTAAAAAGAGTATGTTTTTGTTAAGCATAACAATGAAGGATTTGGGCTGGAAATTAAAGAGCAGTGCAAACAAAAGCAAAACATAGTGCTTGGGGTTTTTCTCTTCTTCTGTGGTCAATCTGCAGAGTGTCTTTTGTGTCTTGATTGTTATTTTCAAACCAAAGTGGCTGTGGGAGACAAGTTCAATGCTATTCACAGCTCTGCTCGTATTTTTGGCTAGAAGAAATTATATCCAAGGGGTGGGAGGGATGGGGGGGGGAGCTTAGCCCTGTCTCCATATTTCATTCTCCTCCAGAGTTGTGCCTGTTGAACATACTCCACATTGTACCAAAGTGTGTACAGTTACCTGATTCGGTCAAGGCTGCCAGAGTAGCAGTCGGCCACGCAGGCAGGTCCGTGTCGAAGCCTCCTGGTGCACCGCGTATTTCTGCCTTTAGAGCAGTGCGGGGTTCAGATCCAGGCTTTCTGATGATCTTCTCCATCTCCTTCATGGGGTTTCCTGGGATTGGATGTGGCTCTCACACTCTGGTTAACGCTTGCTCTCCCCCGCTGCAGGGTTTTGGCTGGTGTGGACCATCATCATCATCCTCAGCTGCTGTTGTGTTTGCCACCACCGACGCACCAAGCATCGTCTCCAGGCCCAGCAGCGGCAACACGAGATCAACCTGATCGCTTACCGGGAAGCCCATAACTATTCAGCCCTGCCGTTTTATTTCCGTATGTACCTCACACCGTTTTTCCTGGAGGTCGTGGGGAGTAGAGCAGCAGTGAGTTTCCCATGTTGGGTGGAAGCAGGGAGCAGTGGTCGGGGTCAGCAAGAGGCGGGGGGCAGCTTTGCTGCCTAACCTTGGCTTGTAGAGAGGAGGTGACATAATCCAGCTGCTGGATGCATTTGAGCCCCCTTGAGTCTGGAGTTGAACCACACCAGCTACAGCACCTTCACACCCACCCTTGATTTGGCTCCGTGAGTGCAGTGATTCCCTGGGTGTTTTTCTGGGAAGGTTCTTAAAATATCTCGTTCAGGACTTTATGGATGCTCCTCCTTTCCAGCCTGCACTTGCTGCTGGTGGGACTGAGATGTGGGAAGTGGCTTCACGAAATTCAGTGTGCTGCGGTTCCCAGATGACGCTGCTGGTCAGCAGCCCTAGGAGTTTGCACAAAGGAGCTGTTGCCCACAGCTCAGGGAAAGTATAATTGCTTTGTTCTCTCCTTCGTGCCCTGCTACGCTGTGCTAGAACAGCAAGTCTCAGCCTTTTGACTGGAGGTACCACAACTGAGTTTCCTGTAATGGACTGCTGAATTGCATGTATGAACTTGCTTTTCTCGTTAAACTCTTGCAGCCACCTCAGAAATAATCCCCAGCAGCGCTTTCCTCCCCAGCCCCAGGGATACGCAATTGCACATGGAAAACTGCAGTGCTATCTTTAAATGTTTCCAGTATTTAAGTCCATTCTGTCTAAATAGACTATTTTGTTGCCTCTTAAGAAATAAACAAAACCTTTCATAGATTTGAGGGGCTGTAAGTGCAATAAACCAAACTTTCTTGCAAGTACTGCCAATTTATTCTAACCACACCAGAAAAACTGAATCCAGCACTAAAACAACAACCAAAAGCCAGGATCCTAAGTTCCTTGTAACGGCTTATGTCTCTTCATATTTACACAAAGCTTTCTGAGGTGAAATCTTTGCTCTTGAAAGTGGAAATTCAGCTGAGAAGCCAGTGTTGGAGAGGGCTGGCGAGTTATCTCCCAGGTTGTTCCTCCAGCCAACGCGGGCCATCCCTTGGTGTGGGGCTGTATTGGGGTACAGGGTGCAGGGCGGTGGGGGGAAGTTCACCTGGTAGCCCTAAGCATAGTCTCGAGAGCAGGGAGGTCAGGCTGCTGTTCCCAACTGCGTCCATCTCCTGTAATGGTGCCCTCCTGTGCCATGATTGCTGCTTCTCTGAAACATGACATGTCTCGTTTGGGCCAAGTTCTGGCACCCCTTGTAAAGCTCGTTGAGCTGTTCAGTGGGAAGGTGCTGGTAGATGACAAATGACATACCGACCTGCATTAATGACTCATTTCCTGAGGTAAGCTGTTCATGAAGTAACTTCTCCTCCTTGCCTCCCACTTTTAGGGTTTTTGCCAAATTATCTACTACCTCCCTATGAGGAAGTGGTGAACCGACCGCTGACACCCCCCCCACCATATAGTGCCTTACATCAGCAGTGCGTCCCAGCAGGCAGCAGTAGCACAATCCCGGACACGCCAAGAAACCTGCAGCCAGCACAGAGCAGCTCAGCAGCACCCAGTGGCAATAACAGCAGTACTGACAACACCGGGTCCCCTGGCCTTGGGGACCCCGAGCCCTCCACCACCACGCTGGTCGAGCGAGCAGTTGCCAAAATGCAAAGCGTCGAGCCCAGCGGTACCAGCACGGGAGCCGAGCTAGTGGAGAGGGCCAGTCCCGATAAGGATATGGAGTGCAAGGAGGAACTGCTAAAAGGTTACAGCTCTGAGAGCTTAGAGCAGAGCAGCGCCATTCCTGACGCGAAGGACAAGACGCCGGGCAGGCAGCGCCGTTTCACCGGCGACTCGGGCATCGAAGTCTGCGTATGCAACCGGGGCCATCACGACGACGACCTCAAGGAGTTCGACGGGCTCATCGATGATGCTCTGGACGGGCCCCTGGACTTCTGCGACAGCTGCAGCGGCCGCCCCCACGGGGACGAGGAGGAAGGGCTTTTTAATGCCGCGGAAGAGCAGCACCGTGAACACAGCCACCACCACCTGCCCCGGCAGCCGGTGTGTGTACTCTTGAACACAATAAATGAGCAGGACTCTCCAAACTCTCGTACCAATAACTCCCCCAGCTAAGGTGGCAGAGTGGAAGGGAGAACTGGGGGAAAAAACAAAGAAATAAAAGTGGAATAAGAGGATTAAAACTTTAACAGGAGGAAAAGGTGATACAACCTTCTTTTTTTAGTTTATTTTTCTTTCTCCCCCTCCAGTATAATTTGGGGACTAGTCCCTGAAGGCCTGGCTTGCGGGGGACGGGTCGCTCTGGGTTTTGTTAATCGTGTCCATCCTGCTCCACGGGGCAGGGACTGATGTTTCTCAATGAGACCTTCTTACAAATGGAACTTTCCCAATGGTGATTTTGGTGATGGTTATTATGAGTTTGTTGGTTTTAGTTTTCCAAAACACTGCTTTATCTCGCAATCAGTAAAGCTCAGCAAATCTCCCCTGGGAGGATATGAAATCACCGTAAGGCTTCAACCTCCAGGTGTCTTCCCAGAAGCAAGCAGCTTCTGACAGTGCCGGCAATCAGTAGCCCAAGAGTTCTGGTTTGATATAGTGCTCTTGAGGCATTGGGGATTTCTTTTCTCTCTTTTTTTTTTTTTTTTTTTTTGGTGTTAAGTTTTCCCAAAGCTGATGAATGCCTGAACACATCAGCCCTATAATCTCTGGTGCTTCAGTGTTTAAGACAGCAGGTAGGAAATTTCCCACTTGAAGCTGGTGACTGAAGGACCAGTTTCTTCCAGAAGGAGTGTTAGTCTACCGTAAGCAGTTTGAAAAGAAAGGGTTTGCAGAAATTTGCCTTTATATGTCACTTTTAAAGACGAGTGTATTCCTTCAATGCCTCCAAGAGCACAGTTAGAAGTAGAATCCAGGCAGCGGGGCTGCCTTCCAAGTACTGTGGTCTCCGAATGACCTTTTCCCGGTGTGCTGCAAAAGGGCTTGGCTTTACTTTTTTCCTTTTTTTGCACCCCGAGAGCAGCACGCTCGAGTTAAGATGACAAAAAAAGAACAGGGCTCTCTTTGGCCAGCGTGCCTTCAAGCTTCAGCGATGCATGTTGAACAAATGGAGATGAGAGCTCCGTCCATTGCAAAGGGATGACTTACCATGTAGATGTGGAAGACCTGTGCAGTATTTTTTTTTTTTTTGATCCAAAAGTTTGGTGCGATTCTAATGTTGACCACTTAAAAGAAGTGAATGTCTGTTTTCTTTTTCTTTTTTTTTTTTGTGTTTGTTTTATGGTGGCAACTGGCTACTGTATAATGTCTGTGAGCGTGTGTGTGTGTGACTGCAATCCATGCATGCGAGTCCTACTGGTAATATGAAAACCTGCTGTAAGACTGCAAGAAAATTTACTGTAGCTTTGCTTTAATAAACGGTAGAGAGTTTGTTAGTAACAACCTGAAGGGAAAAAAAAACCAAAAACAAAGAGCTGAAACTAACATTCCCTAGAGTGCTCATATGGAAGAGAGCACAGTTCAGACTATGTATCTTGTTCTCTTGTTCTCGGGTTTTCTCCCCGTCCCTTTTATAATTATGGTCGTCCAGATCATTACTGTTATGGGGGAAAAAAAATGGAAACTGAACTCAGACATATTCAGATTTGATTGATTGAAAACCAAAATCAGTTTTAAATAAGGTGGAAACCAAAATATAATGCCTTTTCTGATAACTTGCCCATGTGTATGTGTATCATTTTGTGAGTTAAGAACAAGATTTGTCTTTAGTTTGTGGCTTGGTTTTTTTTTTTTTTAACTGGAGGTATGTAGCACTGTGCTGGATACAGATGACAGAGCAAGACAAGTGCTTATTTTAGTATTTTACCCACACGTTTGCGGAGAGCGCTTTTACCTTACAAGGTTTAGGAAAAGAATCTCGCTCCTTTGCCCATTGCAGCCTTTCTCTTCCATCAGAACGGCTGATGAAGATGGCTCTTCAGTTTGTGTCTTAGGGTGATCTTAAGAGTGAAGGACTTTGATTTGGATTCAGGAGACCTTGTTCCTGGATGCCTGGAGCGTGAGCTGTAACAGAGAGGCTGTGTGCCCAGGGCTGGGCTGGCTCGCTGTGCACCGCAGCCGCCCGGGGACTGGTCGCTTCCAGCTGTGTTCACCGACCACATGTATCTTCCAAGAAGAGAATTAAAGATCCCCAGTGCCACCTCTAGGAATTCTGTACGTATTGGCACCTGGCTTTGTTCCTCGCACCACAGAGGAAGCTAAAAAAACACATCAGTCCTTACAGAGTGGGGTTTTACTGCTGTAAATCCTGGGGACGGCCCCGTGCCAGAGGGAGACTCTGCCAACATTTCTGTTGGCATAAGGCAAAAATCTCCATGTTTGCTTTCCTGCCATCCCACTAAAGGCGGGGGAACCCCCCCACTTCTTCTCTGGACGTAGAGGTGAGTACCAGTAAGCCGAGCTGATGTTTCTAATCTTAAAAAGTCAGGAAGAAGCAGTGGTGTGTCTGTTTTATGACTCCTGGAGGTTTTTCAGGCTTTTAAAGACCATAAAGAAACAAGCAGGGCACAAACCGTGTCTCTTAAGCTCACATGTGCCTGAGGAGGAACAGGACTGTCAGTGTGGCTCTCGGTGCTTCAGGCTTTTAGACCTGGACCAGGGGCAGCTGGTGTGGGGAAGAGGAGTGGTGCAGGGCAGGACACTGGGCAGGTGAGCTCCTCGGAGGCATCCCAGCTGGTGCCTCTTCAGGGGAAAAAACACGGGCAGGCAGAGGATTCCCAAAGCTCCAGCTTTGGAGCTTTAGAAAGGTGCTTGATCTTCACGTGTATCTCTTTGTAGAAAGCCAACACGGCCCAAACAGGGCTTTTCTCCGGATGCATGCTGTGGGTTAAAATGCTGGAGGTGTGAGGACATGGGCAGGTGTGCGTCGGTAACACCGGAACACCAAACCCCACTCATTTCCAGCTATAAGGGGCGAGTGTTTTATGGGAGTCGTGAATACGTCATTTCAAAACTGAGTTGCAAACAGTGCAGCACGATTGAGAGCAAATTAGTGTCAATCCACTGCTCGATGTTTATCTTTACAATGTGCTTGAAGTGTTGATGCCAATAATACTTGAAGTCTGTTTTTGCTAGAGCCCGTGGCAGTGCAGTGCTGCTTACACGGCATGTAAGCTGCTGAAATTGGCTCCGAGGGCAAGGACCTGGCGGGCGTCCTAACGGGCTTGGGGTGTGTTGCCTGGGGACAGGTGCTGCAGAGCACCATGTGGTGGCTCAGCGAGAGGGTCCCCTGGGCACAACGGGGGTTCCTGGGACCGGTGGGTACTGCTGCATCGCCTCGGTGTTCCCGAGGGACTCTTGGGCTCCAATGGTGCAAACTCCCCCCCGGAACACCCATGCAATTTTCTTGCAGCATATTGTTGCATGTTTATACAACCCAGTGGATGGGTGTTGGCTGAAGATGGAGGATGAGGGAATCGTGTGTCTAACTCAAGGCTAAGGAAAGCTGAGGTGCAGTTAAGCTTCTGTGTTACACGTAGTCATCGAAAACTTCCTTGGGCAGGAAACCTGAGCAAGCCTCCGGGACAGAAGCAAAACCAGCAGGCTCCACTGAAAGCACGAGGCTGTGCCGCCCGGCACCGGGAGCTTTGGGCTCCCCAGGTGCCCCACGCCGCGCTGGGACGTGCGTCAGTGGTGAGAGCCTGGGCCATGCTCGCTTCCTGCCCCGCGCAGCCCAGGCTCCCACAGCCAAATATCCTCTTCTCCTCCGCACGCCCCGGCCGGGCTCGTCCCATGGTGACCCGCTCCCGGCGGAGCTTGGCAGGGAGCCGGGGCACAGTCCCGCTCTGGTGAATAAACTCCCCTTGCCTCTCACCGAAGCCTGCTGCCTCCCAGCCCTTGCTCACCCTTCCTGTGCAACACATCCCGGGGAGGTTTTTCCCTCCCTTATGTTTTTTTTCTTCTTTTGTTTGTATAGGAAAAACCTGGACCAGGCCTGGAAGGGGGGCAGTCCGGCAGCCCCCCGGCTGGAGGCAAGCCCCGCAGCATCGCACAGCAAGGCAGCCTGGGAAGGCCGGGATGAGTCGCCTTTCTTCGTCAGAGCTGTTTTCCCCCCCTTCCCTTGCAGCACAGATCTGTTTTTATCAGATGGGACTGGTGCCCACACTGGGGCCGTCGCGGCGGCGGTGCAAGTGCTGCGGTCTCTGTGCCGGGGGGGTGTCACAGGCTGCCGGGTTGTTTCTCGATTTGTTTTTGGCTGGCGAACAGCTGTGTCCTGAGATTTGTGCTTACTCAGCTCACCTGGCCCCGTGCCCGCCGCAGAGCCCGCAGGTATTTCGAGCGTCGCCTGCTCCTCCTGTGCCAGCCACGGCTCTCCTGCACAGCCTGGGGCCGTCCGGTGCCTGGTGCAAAGTGCAGCCCCTCAAACTTGGAGGGCTCCTGAGCTGAGCCCCGTAGTGCAGCTGGGTCAGCCAAGTGCTGTGGGGGTGGCTGTGCCCCCCAAACCGAGTTTGTGCGATGGAAAGGCTCAGGCTTGCTCTGCCCCGCCCCGTGCCCTCGGGTCCTGCCTCGGCAAACTCTGCCTCTGCTTCATGGGGTACCCAGAGTACAGTGTGGGAACAGCCGTGAATGAAAAAGCTTCATCCTTTCCACCGTCACCCTGCGCCAGAGGGGGGAATCGGAGACAGAGCTGCTGGTTCCCCTCCTCCCCCCCCCGAGCTGCCCTCCGAGCCCTTCGGTGCTGCTCCCTCCTGTCCTGGTTCTCCCCGTGCAAAGACCCCAAGCGGCCCCAGAGGGAGGGCAGGGGCCCAATGCGGCCCAAGCCATTGCAGCAGCAGAATTATTTCAGTGGCAAAAGCCTTGGCGTTCCCAGTGGCTGCCCATGCTTGGCCGGCTGAAATCCGGTGGCAGATGCCGAGGTCCGCCCCGTCTCTCCCATGGGCATGGTCGTCTCATCCCCCCAGTTTTTGGGTTGCCAGGCTGCCCGGTGCCAGGTCTGAACAAAGCCACAGGGCTCATCCGAGGTGGTGGATTTACGTGTCTTAGGTCTCGGGACCCTGACTGCTGCAGGGAGCTCAGGGGGACGGGAGGAGGGAGGGGGCCACTGCGGGCCACATCTGGCGCTGCCCCGCTGCCAGCAGCCCAGGTGAAGCTGTCTGGTGGGGTCAGGGGTTTGGGCGCAGCGGCACGGCCTGGGAGCAGCTGTCAGGACATAAATACCAGCCGGATGATTCAGCAGCGTCTCTGCCCGTTCCCAGAGCGGAGAGCAGCTATGTCGGCGGCTATTTACCAGCTCACAAGGTGCCAGGCAGCTGGTGCTGGGTACTGAACCCCCTGCGGCGGCACCTTCTCCTGGTCAGCTGGTTGGGAGGCGGCGGGCTGGGGCAGGGGGCAAGACGCCCCGCGGCGGGGCCAGGCTTGGCGTGGCAGGGTTTGCAGCACGTGGCTGGTCTCCAGGCCCAGGGACAGCACGTGCCGGCCCTGGTGAACGGGGAAACCAAGGTGGAGTGTGAGCTTTGTGCAAGCATCTGCGGTTGGAGGTGTTCTCCCATTTAGAAACATCCCGTCCCGAAGTCCCCATTTCTGCCTCGAGGTATGCACTGGCCTTGAGGGCTTGCTGTGAGCGCATGCACCTTGCTGTGAGCACCTTGGCAATGGCAATGTGTGCGCAAGGTGCCGGCCCTGTGCTGACTGGCAAGAAAATCCCTTCCCTTACCAAGAGCAAACACAGTGCCTTGGCAAAGGGGCACAGGGGTGCTGGAGGTCTCGGGCTGATGCTCCTGGAGGCATCGCGATGCTGTGGTTACTGGTGACTGCAGGAGACTAGAGAGGAGAGGAGCCTCCCTGACGACACGTGCTGCCGGGGACAGGATCTGGGGCAGAGCAAGGACCAGGCTGGCATGGAGGTGTCAGTCCCCAGGGAAGCCCAGAGCATCATGTTTAGCCAAGTTTTCCACAAACAAGCTCTGATTCCAGTCCCCCTTCACCCACCCAGCTTCAGCCTGTGCTGGCAGAGGTGGAGGGATCGGAAACCCAGCGGCACCCCTGGTGTGATGGAATCAGGCAGGGGAGCGTGGGGTTCAGCCCTTACAAGCCAGCAGAGACCATGCAGCAGCAGTGGGGCTGGGCTCCTACTGCGCTCCCCTCTGCCCCACTTCTGGTGGGTGAGCTGCACAAATCACCCCAAGGATTGCCCCTGGGGCAGGCGTGTGCAAGGTGGTTCTTTCTCCAGCTCCTTCCTACCACCCTGAGCCCCCACAAGAATGGACTGGGAGGAGGGAAGATGCTCCAGGCGCTGTGCTGGCCTGCAAACGCATTGCCTTCATCGTCCCCGTGACGTGCCGCGGGCTGATGGGACCCATTTGGCATCTGATGCCAAGCAGTGAGGAGGCTGGGTGAAAGCGAAGTGCTGATGGTTCGAGAGAAAACGTACACTTTGACATACGGAGTAGAAAGTTTAGTGGTGGGGAGGTTTTATGTCAGTTTTCCTGCCTGCTAGCAAGAGAGAGGGCAGGGGGAAATAGAAAAGGGGGAAAATGTGGGGGTGTGCACAGCTGGGGGTGTCACATCATGCTAGCACTGTGGGGGGCTTTCCCCTCTGCCCCGGCTGCTTTCCATCCAGGTGCCCTGAGCCATAGCTGTGTTGCTATTTAGTTAAATATTAAGAGGTCAAGTAATAGAGAACCAGAAACTTAATTGCATGCTGCCCTCCGTGGCACGGTGGTTTTCGATGAAAGTAAATATGGCCCCTCGTGTTACGGGAAGGTTATGCTGCTCAAAGTGACGGCCATAATCCAGCCAGACAGTGAGCATCGGTGCTCAGGACACGGTGCAGGTGGGAGATGCCACATTGCTGCACGATGAATGTCAGCAGCCCCCGGCTCTGTGGTGCCCACGCACTGGGCCTGGGGGGCTGCAGCTGAGCTCAGCCCGTGGGCTCTGGGCGCCTCTGTGTGCTCCTCTGTGTCCCTGAGCGATGGGAACCCCCGCTTTCGGCTGGAGCTGGGGCTGCCTGCACCTCCCCATGGCGGCTTGCGCACAGGATGGGGTCGGGCAGCCCTGCGGCCCTACAAGGCGCTCATGTCCCATCTGGAAGGGGCTGCGTGTGTGCATGTGTACGTGTACGCATGTGTGCATACAAGCATATACGTGCATGCATATGTATGTGTGTGTCAGCAGGCATAAATGCAGCCCTGTGTTTTTGTGTGCATACACACGCTTGTAAGTACATGCGTGTGCAGGCACCCGTGTGCATATGCCTGCACATGCCGGCAGCAGCGTGTGCGCTGCGTACCATGGGAGAGGAAGCCGGTGGGAGCTAAAACTGCAGGAACCTCCAAGCTGTTTCCTTCTTTTTCCCCGCAAGGAGCGGCGGGTGTCCCACCGGTGGGGGCACGCTGTCCTGGGACGGGGCAGGGGAAGGCAGGGCTTGGGGAGCTCTCCCTGCCCCATGGCGGGCTCAGCTCCCAGCCCACATCGCGTTCGTTTTCCCTGCTCTCAGCGGGGAAACTGAGGCAGGGGCCAGCCAGGGTCACCCACCTGGGGTCACAGCCGCCGGGCACAGCCTGGGCATCCTTAACCCCCAAACTGCCCACTGGTCACTTTTCCCCCCTTACCTGGCTGGGGTGGGCCCTTCTCCTCCCACCAGCTGTGCGGGTGGCTGGTCCGCATGGCTCATGGTTGTCTCTGGATGGGGGCGAAGGGGCTGTTCGTGTTAGCAGCCCCGCAGAGGGGCCATGGCCTCCCAGCTCAGCCCAGTGCTCACATGGAGTTGTGGGGCCAGATTTCAGGCA